GACGTACCATCCACCGTTTCTCAATCTTGCACTTCACCCCTTTAAGGGAATTCTGCGCCTCAGCACCCCGATTAGACCCGGGAAGATGGGGCCCAAAATGCTCATTCAGTCGACATGACAAGTTCAATTTCACCAGCAAATCACATTAACAGTATGGAACGTACTGCCTTACGGTTAGAGAACGATCTCTCGCACCGAAAAGTGTGAAATCAACTTCGAATATGTTCTATCTTCTAAAATGTGTGTTGAAAAATAATAAGTAAGGTTATTTCCGTTTCTGGAGTCGAAGCTCGGGTTTTGGACGAACCACAGTAATTAGATAATTTCACCACTATGATAGCAGAAACTCAGATTCGTCGAGAAGTTAGATAATTTCACCCCTATGATAGCAGAAACTCAGATCCTTCCTTCGTTCTTCTCCCCCCCCCCCCATAGCGTGTTGATTTGAAGCATACGCATATTTGCGTTCATTTGCTTGTCTTAGAGTGCATGTACTTAGTGAACCCAACCAAGAACCACGCAATTCCAACCGGTCGCCTGTTTTTCATTCCCATTGTCGCCAGCGACTGTGACGCAAGAGTGGCATGAAAAGCCGAACAAAGTGAGCTTATCAAACGGAGAACGGAAAAACCGAGTTCACAATAGGTAGCAAATCAGCACAGGGTAGATGCCAAAGGACAGCTGTCGAAAAAATTGATTTCCTTGCTATTATAATTCTTCCCTATCTTTTTAGGCACCTCAACAAGAGTGTACAAAGTGCTTAGAGGGGTCGTTTGTGTATAAATTGGCAGCCAGGCGCATCCAGGAACAATGACGCCCTGTTTTCTTTACACTCACTTCCTGGCCTCACTTGGGCTATTATTTTCTGGTTTCATCTGCCTAAGTAGTTTAGAATTTGGAATGGGCGGAGGTGTGGCAGTGGCAAGTGGCATGTTCACCACGCGCTCGGTCCGGGGATCAAATCCCCGGAGTCGGCTCCCGCTCAGGCCAGCGAGCTTCCAACCCTCCCAGTATCGCAAATTGGTACCAGATTAGTCTGGGAGGATAAAAACGGTGATTCGTACTTCGGCTGTTCCATTGTATAGGCCACATCGCCACCATTCAGTAAGTCATTACCAATGGAAGTAGAGTGCGTGCCGTCTCCCAAAAGGGGATTGACCAACTGCGATGGTTATCTGGGATTCTTCGTATTCTACTTGTTATCACTGTACAGTGCCAAGCAAGGCCACTAACCCTCCATTTTGTTTTCTGATTCCAGCTATCCACCTTTCGCGCGTCCGCCGTACTTGTTCACGTCCATTCAGCTCCCCATCTTCATGCCTCAGAAGAAGTCCTCTAATAAGCCGAAGGCAAGCTCATAGGTTTTAACGCTCCTCGGTTGATATCGTTTGCTTGGCGATTCTGGAATATCCTACCAAATCTATTACATCCCTAAGCCTGTCAGCTCATTCGTTTCTATCGCATAGTGGACAGACAGAATCTACCAGCAGGGTTAATCTCCTAGCAAAGCTCTTCATTCCAAGCCGCATTCCTCATCACGCCAGCTATCCATCCAGTCCATCTATTTTGCACGGCACGACTAAAAAACTCAGGCACTGAAATGTCCAGAGCAAAACGCTGGCCGAGCAGCTCTCCTGCCTTAGCATCTTCGGACTTCCGTTCTCTCTAACGCCACAGAACCCGTATTTAGCTATTGAGCAAAATTTTTTTCAGACTCACCATATCTAGGGTCATATTGCAGTAAGACTGCGCGGGTACTCACTCAATCCCCACGAATACGGCGTGACTGCGCACTTCTTCTAGCATGGCGAGATAAGCGCTTTCCCTGGGATATTCCCTTTGAGGACAACTGCCATGCTGTCCTATGCTGGACAAAACTCAGTACATGTTCTCAAAAGCAGTGTTCCACCAAATGCTACCCCCACATAAAATTGGTAACATGCCTTGACTGCGCCTACGGGGGAACTACCATGCCCTTTCGCAATCACGGTTATCGACAAAATTTTCTTTGAAGGATGTCACATGAGTTGCACCAATTTGACAGAACTCTTTGAATGGTTGTGAGTTAACGAGCGCTGATTTCCTTGCGTAAACATGCACAATCCTTCACAGTGTCTGAGTAGGCATCATCCTTCAGCGAGCAGAAATGAAAAACCGCATCTGCTCGAAAATAAGGTGCACCTGTTCTTTTCATTGTAATTGCCGTAGTTCCTTGACACTGGAATCCAGAAACTGTGCAAGAGATGGGCTTTCGTTCTCGTTGTCTACGGTTACTTCGTCGTGGATTGAAGATGTTGTTCGTGAAGGGAAACTTGGTCTGAAATTTTCTTCAAAGTTGTTCGTGAAGGAAAATTTGGTCCGAAATTTTCTTCAAAGTTTTCAGGACCTCTTCCGGATATCTCTGTAGTTTTCGTGGCTTTATATCGAAACTATGCGCACCACATTTTGTAGTCGTAAATCATGTATTATTAAAGGGTTGTCACCAATTTTAATAACAACGCGTAACTCAGATGCTGAAAATCGTACTGCTCTGTATTTTGGCTAGCGTTGTTACTGCAGGAGGAGGTCATAGAAGACGAGTGAGTTTCGTTATTTCTTAGGATCTCTGGGATGACAAAACCTTGTCCTTTGAAGAGAAAAAGCAATCAGATTGCTCAGGTTACCTATCTGGCCTCTCACCACGACAGAGACCCCTCTTGTTTAGGGTCCTTCAAGATGTGGTTTACCATCATTCACTGAACGGCTGCCGTCGGAAGCTCAGGAGGAAATCAAGAAAATCTGGAAAAATTATGAAGACGGTGAGGGGTGTGACAAGGAGCACCAAGCAACAAAGGAAATTGTGAGTTTTTGCACTTATTCTTTTATTTTTGTTTTTTGTTTCTAACCGTTCCCCTTTTCCAATTTCCCTGCTCAGTACAAGAATGATTCATCAAACCCTCAGCACTATTTCCTCTCGATACGACTATGAAGCTCATAAATCTCTCCCCTGGTTTATTTATGACATATTCATTGCAGCTTGACGCTTTACCGGAAGACGTCCGATCGAAGGCAATGCGCCCACGGGGCCCAGCTTTTCTTAGAGGCGTCACTGATGATGTGCGAGCACAGTTTGACAACCTCTGGAAAGACCACTCTATTCCAAGGGAAGAGAAGCCGGAGAAGTTCAAGGAACTCGCATCAAAGGTGCTTTTATCATGCTTTACTGACTTTACATGCTTGACTGACTTAACTTTGCCATGAGTATGAAGTACCATTTACATTTCTCACCATAAGGTTAATACGTGAGAAAGCACCAACGAACCCATCAGAACTGATGACCCCTAAAGGAGTCAGTGACGTTCCTAGCTCATTAGAGTGACTAGCTAGCTTTAAGTGAGATATTGTTGAATCATAACCACATTGCCATAGCAACTTCAGTAACCTCCGAGGGTACGTTATGGTAGTTTGTGGTGCCAGCAAGTGGGGAGACACACTTTTAGAGCGCCTTGAAAGGTCAGTGTACGATACGCTACCCTGTACGTAGTGCCGCTACCTTCTAATTTCTCGATGCGCTACTCAAAAATCGTACTCCTTTCCAAACAGTCTAGCGGAATTCACGAGAAAAGGACCGTTTTCAAATGGAAATTCCACGACGAGGGAGACTAGACAAAAACATTACTGACAATGAGCCTTAACCTAAATACGGGCCAGCCTCGGAGATCCTATCTTGAAGATTTCGATACGTCAGTTTCTCTGTAAGCCAACTCAAAAGAACGCAAGGTACGTAGTGCTAACTGTATCGTACCTTCTTCGGAATAACCTTTCTTTGAAATTGTAAACGCGCTCTAAAAAGTGCACCTCCCTACTTGCTGGCACCACAAACTTCTATAGAGCTACTATTTTGATACATCGAAGTGAATAACGATTTTCTTCCTCGGCGGCAGTTTTTTTGGAGAAAAGAACTGGGTAAGTTTTCGGAAAAGTGGTAGAAGGTTGTGCAACATGGTAAGATGGTAGGTAGGATAGAGAAGGGGTTGTTAAAGATGATGAAATTCCAAATTCCCGAGAGGAGTCGTGCTGACGCCGTCATTTCATACATCACGATACAGTATGCAACAGGGTTAGACGACCTCCCACCTGAATGAAGGTCTCGGTACGACCCCCCCCCCCCAACACCTACTTCCAATTTCTTTCCCATTTTTTTCCACCCATAACGGGAGAATTTCCCCAACTTCCCACCACTTCTTACGAAGCTTCCGGGAATTTTCCAACTTTTCCCTAAAATTTTGCTGCAGAGCGGGAGGGGGTACATACCACACTTTGCACATGAAACAGGAAAAATCACGCAAAAAGTCAACAACCGGAAAACCAACGCGACAAATTTCTCTCAAAGGCACATACGACCCCCTCTCTCCCAACGACCAAATACGGCCCCCTTCCAGAAAATGTATGACCCCCCCCATGTGTGCGCAATAACTTCCAAGTCATCGTTTCCCGAATATTGGAAGTGTGCAACGAACGGCTCTTCAAATATGAAGTTCCAAAAAGAGATCGCTCTCTGGGTTCACGCAATCATTATTAGCCGTCATAGTTCCTCTATACCTACTGCCTTCTTTCCTCGACTAAGGTTTCCTAACACTTTTAAAAAGCACATCAACCGCTTCTCAACGTTTCAGCTGCTGAACGCAGAGCAACTGAAGGAATTCAACAAATTCCACGCCGCTCTGCAACGACGAAGGGAAGAATTTCAGAAGAAGGTTCGTTTCCGATAATCATATACCTAAAGTTGTATAAAGCTTTGAATATTCTTTCCCTATAGGTTGAGCAATTGACGCCAGAAGCACGTGCTGCACATGAAAAACTCACAAAACTCCGAGAGGAAAGACACAAGGTGAGCAAGAATACGGTAGTAGCTGCGGGTAGAAAGCTCAGTACCAGTTCGGTGAACAGGAATTCGATGATTACTAGAACATTTTAACACACATAACCGCATAAAAACATCTGAATGTGTAATAACAATGTGAAACTCCAAAAGTTTATTCCAAAAAACTCAAAAGACAAAAGTCTCAAAAGTTTTTTAAAATATCTTATCAAAGATATTTTGAAAAACTAATATACTATAACTATAAATACTATATCAAAGATAAGATATTTTGAAAAACTTTTGAGACTTTTGTTGTCTTTTGAGTTTTTTGGAATAAAATTTTGGAGTTTCACATTGTTTTTACACATTCAGATGAGTAATGAGACTCCGGGACAGCACTATACTCCGACGCATAAAAACAGTTGTTGGAAATTCAGTTGAATTTAACCCTTGAGATGCATTACGTACTTGAAGACAAAATGTACCCACATCTCTGACGACGGTCCGAGTTAATGGATCCGCAGACGACGAAGTAGCGTGCCACTTCCACCT